CCTCCTGCCCCCTGCCCCCTGCCCCCTCCCCCCTTGCCGCCCCCCCCCCCCCCCCCCCCCCCCTCCCCATCCCCTCCGGGGCCAAATGAACCTATGCACAGTATGGCTAGGGCAAACTACCGTTTTACGGCATAAGGCACCTTGATCGTGAATGTATACAAGCTATAATTCAGGTCCGGTACCGTCATATTGAGGCTGCTTTGTGTTTGGGAGAAGATGGCACCTTCTTCACCTGAACACAGCGCCGTGGTCATTATGACTGTATGGACTTGTAACTGGTAGAGACAAAAGGATCATAAAAAATTGTATGTACAATGTAAAAAATACATGTAGGAAAAGAGATCTGATCCCTTGAAATGGGAGATCTTCTGCCCCCCCCCCCCCTCCCCTTCCCCTCTCCTCACCACTCCTTCCCACAGTGAAGATATGGAGGGAACGGATTGGAGAAGGTACCTCCTTCCCCCAAACAGCGCTGGACTTCACAGTCAATTCTCTCTCTTTTTGCGTGCTAACGTCCAGTCCGTATGACTGTGTATGGAGTTGGGACAGAAGGTGCGCAATATGATGACGTTCCGTATGCTTTTCCCCTTTAGGAATCTGTGGTGCATCTCCATCTTGGGATTTTCTTTTGCTGACTTGTCCTTTTTTATTTCTTATTTTTTTTATTGGTTCCATATCGTGGGAGAGGGTGGATGCTAGGCCTTCTTTGTTTTTCTAACCTTTTTTTGTTTTTAATTTTCTTGTTTGCGTGCATCTCCATCTTTGTGTGCAATATAAATATGCTGTTTCACCAAAAAAAAAAAAAAAAAAAAAACTTGCATGCATGACGCAAGATGGCTGTTTGCCACTCGAAGCATTTGTGCCGAATCTCTAGCTTTCGGGATTTTTTTTTTTTCCCTTCCTGGGATTATTCCCTCGTCATCATTGTTTCGAAACGCCACCAGTGCATCACTGGGTAGGGGCTGTGGGGTATTTTACTATTTTCACTGTAGCGCCGGTTAACGCAGAGGCCATGTTTTCCGTGGACTGGCATCTGCCTGCAGTGGGGCTATGAGCAATTGCTGGGCTAGGCTACCAGCCGGGTTGCCCGGATCACCTTGTTTTCCCGGGCGGCCTGGCCGTGCAAGGACCAGGGAAGGTCCCAGAAGAAAAAGACGACAACAAATTCAAAAAAATCCGAAAAAAAACTATGTTATGCAGAAAAATTAACTGAACAACTTTAGTATCGTTTTAGTATTTTACATAAGGTGAAAATCCCCGGTGGCACACTTGTGGTTTAGACTTCAAAAGAATCAAACTGATAATAATGACTTTTAGTGATGCTGCGGCGGCTGCACATGGGGGGGGAGGGGGGGGGKGAAAAAATGCCATGTGTCGTTCATTGACGCATCAACTCATGTTAATCTGACCTATAACAATTAAGGATAACAAAACCAGATTTTTTTTATTTTTTATTTTTTTTTAACAAAACCAGAATAATAAAAGTAGTAGATTAATAACATTGAAATTCAAAAATATAAGAATAACAAAACAAGAATGATGGCCTACCCAAAATAACGAGAAAATTAGAATGAAAATAAAAGAACAATGACAAAACCAGAACAAGTAACAGAAAGTTTCGAAAGCAAAATAATAACAAAAAAAACAGATTAATGACAAAACCACCGGAATAATGACAAAACCAGAGTCGTAATAAGAATGAAGGAGGCATTCGAGCCAGAGTCATATAATCGGGAGTAGCGGCCAGAATAATAATAATAACAACGAAACAAGAAGAACGAGCTGAGAAAAGCAAACCAACCGGAGTAATAAGAAAACCAGCGTAATAATAAAACCAGAAAATGAAAATACAGTCTCTGCTGAATGCCGCTCGGGGGGGTCCAACGGACTATCTCTAGGTAGCAGGAGCCAAGCTTGCCCAGGAAGGTACATGAGGCCAATGGGAACTGAACCCGAGACCTCCTGAATACCACTTGCGTGCCTTACCGACTGAGCTAGGTCGCGGGATCTCCATAGTGTTGCCGTATGCCAAGCAAGGATTAAAATTATCGCAAAAAGAATTTAAAAATGCATTTGTTGTATTAATTTAAAACTTTTGTAATTTAATTAAATTGTAAATGACATTGGCCCGCAGTCGGCTACCCTCCTTTCATCTCAAATTGAGTTGTCAGAGGGCATCGCCACACCACTCTCGAAATGTGCAAAATGAGAATGAACTTCCTTATAGAAGATGACCAGATGCACCTGCCACATTTTTGTCTTTTTCACATTTCAAGAGTGGTGCGGCGAGGCCCAGATTCTCTCTAGATTTTGGGTGAAATCGAGCCCTCGGTCCACATACTGCTTCACTCAGCTCCTCTTGACATGCACAAAAGACAAAAAAGTGTGGCAATGTATCTTTCCGTGTTCTGGTGAAGGATTCAGACTCATTTTGTCACATTTGAAGAGTAGTGGAGGTGACCCATACTCTCCATAGCCGACGCTCTCGAAATATTTCCCATTTTTCTTCTTCCCCTTCTCCCCCGCCCCCCCCCGCCCCCTTTTTTTCTGAAAGGCCGAGAACCACAAAAAAAATGAAAAAAATGAAAAAGATTGACAGGAAGATCGCCAGGAAGTGTGCACTCTCGATTTCACGCCCATATCATTCTGTCTGTACACCTGTGAACTGTTGAAATATGAATCAGACCCAAGTTCGAATCCAGATGCAATCAGATGACCACCAGAATAAATCATTCTGAATTACCTCGGGCCGGTCAGTTCAATGATGATATCGCAAGGCAGTTGCCCTTTGTCACACACAGAGAGAGAGAGAGAGAGAGAGAGAGAGAGAGAGAGAGAGAGAGAGAGAGAGAGAGAGAGAGAGAGAGAGAGAGAGAGAGAGAGAGAGAGAGTTCACGCCCGAAGTCGAGGGTCCCGGAGAGTGCTGCAGGTGGAGCGAGCTCTCTCGCAAAAACGAGAGTGCTCTCAAAGGGCCCGCGCTCTGACAAGTCTGGATCATTTTTTTTGAGCGGCGACAGTCGAGAGTATGCGGAGCGGTGCACCACTGTTGAAAATTGAGGACTCGAGTCGAGAGTCGAGAGTCGATACTCTCGACTCGATACTAGTGGAGCCGCTGGCGAGCCGAGCTCTCAAGAGTGTATCGTCTGTTTTTTCTTTTTCTGTCGTATATACCCTACATATTAGGGGGAGAAAAAAAAAAAAAACACAGTTGGCACTACTGTGACTATAATTCAGCAAAGTCGTGTACGCCAGGGCTGTGGTCCCACCAGCGAAGGGGATAGGATAGAAATCCTGAATCTGGCTATGTTTTATGCAGAGATATAGAAAAGCAGTTCTATCTCGATTTCCTGCACATCTCCTTAAACTCGTCCAGATTCAGGCATTCAATCCGATGCTCTTTGCTAGTGGGACCACGCCCCAGAGCTGTGCAAATGGCTGATCACTTTGCGGTAGGATAATCTGATTTTTTTTTTTTAATTCAAAAAAAAAGAAGAAAGAATTGTGGCCTGAGCGGCTGGCAGTGGCCGAGTAATCCTTTTGCCAGGGTCCCACCTGGCTCCATGTCATGAGATGCTTTTTTTTTGTGTTTTTTTTTCTTTCTTTCTTTCTTTCTTTCTTTGTGGTGGGATAAACTTAAAAAAAAAAAAAAAAGTTTAAAAATAATAAGAAACGAATTGCGGCCTGGTTGGCTGGTGGCAGTGGCCGAGTAATCGTATTGACAAACTCCCACCTGGCTCCATGTCATGAGGTGCCTTTTTTTTTGTTGTTGTCTTGGTTTCTTCTGCGCTCAGATCTTTGCAACTCTTGCTGTTTGGGTTTTCTGGGGCGAGGGCCCAATTGCAAAGAGGATCGGATTGGATGGCTGAATCCGGACGTGTCCGTGGAGAGGTGCAGAAAATCCGGATTAAACTGCTTTTCTGCATCTCTGCATAAAACAGGTCCGGATTCAGGCGGCGAAATCTGATCCTCTTTCCTACCGTCTTCACCCGAATAGAACGGCCAGTCATTATCGCTGTATGTAGACTGAAAACCAAATACGGTTATAATGACTTGGCGCTGCTGCGAAATGGATCCTATCTCCATCATTTTTCAGTTATTTGTTTATTTTTAAGAGAAACTTTGTTGCAGGCTCAGTGTGCCCAAGGCAAGGAACATCTCTGCTGCATTTATTTTTCCTTTTTTTTTTTTTTTTTTTTTTTTTTTTAAAAGGGCGGTGACCTTTAGATGTCATCATTGAACTGACCGGCTGCAGTCCATTCAGAATGATTTTAATATTTTATTGAAATTTAATAATTTATTCTCTTCATCTGAAGGCATCTGGAATCTGGATTCGAACTTGAGTCTGTATTTCAACAGTCCAGGGGGGGTGTACCAACTGAGCTAGGCCCCTTGGTATCTCCACTGCATTTTGAACGGGAAGCCGATTTTCTCTAACGACGTATGGCAATATAATAATATATAATATTATATAATATTGTATTGATCATATGCGAGATTTGTTTCGAGCCGCCCACTTCCTTGTTTTTGCTTCATCCCCTTGATTTATGTTCTGGGCCTCTAGTCTGCATCTGGCCCAGGTTCGTCCTGCCCTCTTCACCCAAATTGAATGCCCAGTCATTATTGCTGCGTATGTAGTCTGGCAGTTGGCCCAAACACAGCTGTAATGACTGTGAGTCCTATTTGGGTGAACACGGTAGTCTACAGAGCCTGACCCTCTCACCCACCCATCACCTTTATTCGTTTCTCGATTTACGCGTGTCATCCTTGCGCAGGGGCCATGCTCATCTTCTTTCTGTGTATCGTTCCAATTTTAATGGACGTCCCGAAGGACCATTGCCTTGATTCGTGCCTAACACACGTGTACGGTTTTGTTCTTTGCGGTCTGTCGCTGTGCGGTTGCTTCTCTATATGTTTGACTATATTACTATAATATACTGATTTTATTATATTTTTTAATAAATTATATATTAATTTATTGCATTATATTGTGCTATATGCAGGGGCAGCTTGTTTCTGACGATCTTGTGGTAGGCATCATCGACGAGGCTATCAAAAGGCCATCGTGCTCGAAGGGGTTTATTCTCGATGGATTTCCGCGCACTGTTGTGCAGGCCCAGAAGGTAGAAAGAGATTGGCTCCCTGTCTCTTTTTTCTTTTGGCATGAAGTGTGTGGTATGTCTTTTTTTTGGGGGGACTCTTCTTTTTCTACGTGTAGCATCATTGCTTTTCCATGTTTTCTCTTTTTCCTCTCTCTCTCTCTCTCTCTCTCTCGCTCTCTCGCTCTCTCGCTCTCTCGCCCTCGCTCACTCTCCCCCTCTCTCCCCCTCCCCCTGGTTCGTTCTCTCTCCCTGCTTCATTCTTTTTGCTTTGAAATTGTTGCGTGGTCCTGTCAAAATCTGCCTTTCAAGGGTGAAGACCAGGGAGCCAACACGTGGGTACACAGTTTCTAGGCGTTTCGTGCCGAAAATGTGGAATTTTCTTTTCCTTCTCTAGGGTCAAGTCCCACTAGCAGCGCTGAGTTTCCTCAACTGCTCATTGCCACAAACACGTCCAGATTATGGCGTAGAGGAAAACTCAAAGCTGCTAGCAGGACCTGGGCCCTGGAGGC